TTAGATTCTTTGATCTCGTTAGCATAAATACGTAAGAGGATATCAGTCTATTAAACTCAAACTGCATATTAATTGCTCGGCGATTATGCAGAACATTAAGAAAAGACCTCATTGCCGTGAAACCCGCTTGACAACTCATTATAGCACGTGGTTTTCCTAAAAACTTATCAGATATACCATGCATCCTAACACACGATAGAATCCACGACTTCTGACTTAAGCAGGACAGGCGTTGAAAAGCAGACGGAAAAATGTAATTAATTAGCTGAACTGAGACCTAACTTTTACTATGGTGTGTAGATCTCATTAACGGTTCTCATCTTCATTCTACAAACCAGCAACGATTTCGACGAAAATCATCTCTAGTTTTCATTCCAACAAAATGCTTATGCTCTTGTGATGAACGTAACCACAGAGTTTATCCTTTGTTTGCTGCTGCGTTTAGAACGTTCGCATCTAAAATTTCCGGTCTTCTGCACGTCATTCACTGCTAACCTAGAGTTTTGCAGAATGTCGTTCGACTTCGACCTTACAGCACCGTTTCTCCCTGAGTTCAGCACCAGAGATCAAGCTGAACACCGGCACAAAATTCGGCCAGTTCAGGTGCGTACAAGCAGCAGCTTCCACTCCGACAAGAGCTCTTTTCTATGTAGGAAGCTACAGCTCTTTTACGTGACTACATTTCCATGTACTTCGAAGTGTTTTGTTGTGGATTTCCGTTGAAAACTGAACTTTCTCACGAGTAGAACGATTACTGAATGCAAAGGCCGTGGAACTTTCAAAGAAAGTCAAACAGACGTTTATTACTAATGGCTTTCTTCAGCAGATAATAATAAGTACACGTCATATTATTGGGATACGGTAGGTGCACTCTGGAGTAGCTTAATTAGTTAGCAAAATGATATCGATCACAATCAGGCCGGCTATTTTCAACCAACTTCTTTACTCATCGAATCCAGATTAATGCGTGATTGACGAATTCTAGTATCTATTCAATTATTTTGTTAGTCGATGTTTACGGTTTATAATCAAACAGTACTAATAAAGGAACTGCTAGACAGAATGGAACACATGAATTTTCTGTGAAACTAGCCTGTCTAGTAAACCAGTGAAGAGTACGGATATCGCTTTGCTAGAATAATTTGAAGGTTATCCTTCGCTCCCATGAAGCCAGCCTCACCAAAATTCCATTTTAAATTAATATTTTATAATAGCGTCTCCTGTATTTCCTTTCCAAAATTTGATTGAGATTCCATACTCACACACTAATGAAAGAAAAAAGAAACCCTGGAGGAATATTTCCGATGAAGGTTTTATCGGTACGGAGATTAACGACAAAATTACGTCAATGAAAGAAAGAGGAAAATGAAACGAAAAGTTATTAGGGGTAACTAATTATTAATACTAATAACTCGTTGTCTGTCAGTCTAGGTTGTGCAGGATCATCGATCAACGATTCGAACTGGATTCCAGATTCCAGCTCAAGCACTTATGCATTTCTTTTGCAGGTTCTTGCTCCTTCGTCGAGCAGTGGTTTTCGGTTGAACGAAAGCGCTCTGAGTTCTGTGCTTGCTCACTCAGCGATTGGCAACAAAAAGGTCGGTTCGTTTCCGCCATTCCAGTTCATTCAACCAAGCAGAGTCGAGCTGCGTATTGGGTAAAAGTGCTCCCAGCACAAATGGCGGCTATAGTTAGTGTCCCTACACAAGGCTATTTGACCAGTGATTATTTGACGCAGTGGACATCCTAGGCACAAGCTTGATTTAATATGAAAATTATTCGCTCTCAAGCCAACATCTTGCGAGACTGCCTTAATTACATGATTTTCCGACAGAAAACATTAATGTGTTAGAAAGTTTCATCCACTAAGAGTACGACAAGACTTCTGATGGAAGTGAATTGCAGCCGCTTTCTAGTAATCAACAGCAGATAACTTTTACGGCCTTTATGCCGCCATATTTGCTGATTTCCCTGATGTTTCTGACAAATCTGGTCCCTAGTTTTTTGTCTGGCACTTTTATCAGTTTGTTACTATGCAATTCTGAGAAAAATCACGAATTTCTGAAGGTGCTGAAAGAAACTTTTTCTGTGTCAAAAAAGATGTAAAGACGTTTGAAAAAGTTGAAGGAGGTGAGTAGAGTGAAGATGAAACGGTTGTTCTGATGAAAACCGAATGAGTTGATGTAGCCTGCGAGAGCCTTCGACGGCCTCCGGCAGCGGTGACCGTTGGTGCCCACCGACCACAACCGGACCCGCCAGGCACTTTTCTCCGGAAGCAATCAGTCAACTCGACCTAGTTCGATATTTCTACCTCTTCCACCAACCACATTTCTTTTTATCGATATGCTCAGGTTTCAAGAAAACTGTTTCGTTCGTAACTCTTTTCCACATTACTGAATTCTGTAAAATTACTGTCATGACTACCACAGCAGCTTTCTTCATCGAGAGGTTACGAAACATTTGATTGAGCACTCTACATATATTTATCGTTGTAGTCCTACTGTAATTCTCCTGTCTACGTTTAAGTGTAAAAGTGCTTTAACTGCTTCTTTCAATTATTTATCAGTTTGTTTTCAATGGTTTTAATTAGAATTTCATCTACTACGACGACAAACGACGGTAGGAGATGTTCGCGGCTGGTGTCTACGGGGTTGATGAGGACGGATCACCAGTCAACAGTAAATGTGGTTTTCTCAAAATTTGTTTCCGTCCTTACTGCTACGCTTTTAACCTTTGACTCCGCAGATCTCCAGTTGTTGGAGACATTCTTCATTAAGAAGTAGAGTATTACTCACCACACTCTTAGCATGACAGATGCACGATCGAATTCTTGTGCCGTTCATGAACAGGACTAGTTAAATATTCGATTCACTCTTAAAAAAATCTCTGGCTATGATCAAATTAAGATACGGTTTGACCGAAATTTTGTGAGTTTTTTCTGAACAGTCACTTATTTAGAGACGGTAGTTATTCTTATCAAAGTTTAAGCTAATTGGAGAACTCAGCTGCCTTAGAACAATCTTTTTGCCAGTTTTTTGTGGAATGATGTTGGCCTGGTTTGGTCGACATTCATATGTTAGCAGTTTTTTTTTACAATGGCAATTTTTGCTGTCCATCTAAACTGTTGAAATGAGAAGCAGAAACACAAGCGTGGCATGCTCGAACAGTTTTTGTGTATAAAGAAACGATAACGACACAAAGACAGCATTGCATTTGACCAGAGGACGGTTGTTGAGAATATCGGCAACGATGATATCCGAAGTCTGTAATAGTGATAAAAGCCTTGCAAATGAGGAAGGTCGACGATGAGACTTGGGTCGAGCACTGCCACTGAGCGCCTGGAGATCTTGAATGGAACACATCCATACACAATCGTTTGAGAGCTTAGCGAGAGAAGAACTATGCATAGTATAGTGTCAGTTCCGGACTCATCAATCGAATTGAGAAATCAAAGGACTCGACAAATTGGTGGTGCATATGGGAGACTATGCATGACATGAAAACCAAGGTCATAACTACAAATTTGCACAGGCGTCTGTTGCAACACCGACACTGCTGAGGTGTGCCGTGATGGGGTGAATAGAAATGTATTTGTTGGTTAAGACATGTAGATTCTAGTCGCTTCTATTTTGATTGGTAATGCTTACTATGTGAGTTTGTTATTGCCGTTCCGAAGCCCAATTGAGAACGATTTACTACTAAGAACCGTCGCTAATCTGGAAAAACCTAATCTTAAAGTAAAGTATCCTCGATCCAGCATGATTCCTCGTTAAAATGACCCTTTCGGGAAACAAATTTAGGTAATACTAGCTGGGACGTTGGTGTTCTTTTTTGAAGTTTAAGGTTGAAGGATCATTCCTTAATCAACCTAATATTTAGCAATGCTGTTAATGAATATGTTAAAAAATGAGAAATTAATAAAGAAAATCAATCGATACATGCGAAACTAGAACTTGGGAAGGTTAAGCTTGTTGCGAACTATTGAAGTATGTGGAGGAGCAGGTATGATGAAGAAGACGGGCATAATTTTGAGCTTTTATAATCCTATTAGTTGACGAGCAACACTGGGGTGGGGGAGGGGGCGGGGGGGGCATTTCGCTGACTACTTATGAACTTGACGTGGAGATAGGAGTTAATCGAGTGACAGGGCACAATTGAATTGAGAATGTTGGAAGCCGTATATCCACTGGCGATGCTTCGCTGTATGCATGGCGTGCATGCAATGATATGGTTTTCTGGTCAGATCGCTAGTGTCTGAACCATTCAAAGGATTCTAAGTTCTCAGCTACGGTTCTTATCAATAACGCTCTCAATTTTCGTATTCTGGAAATGAATGTTTTCTAGACAGCTGTGCCATTTTCTGCATATTTGTTTAGCTGCCTCTGAGTGAATGACAACCGATATCCGGTCGTGGCTTTATCCAGCGAACTGCCGAATCGAGAGATCTAGCTTGCATTCTTTGCTCAACGACTCACACATCTGTTGTGTAAAAAGTGTAGACGGTGTAGTTGTGAGCGCACCCTCCTTCTCACTTCATTTAACATGAAGTAGTGCACTCTTAGCATCATATGCCTTCTCTTAGCTACATTTTTAATTAAGCTTTAAGAAGTCCGAATGCTTATTCCTTCATTCTCTTTTATGGGAAAAATCGAAATAATCTTCGAAAAAACCTCGAGTATTTGGTAATTTCTGTTTAGTTTAGTTTATTTATCCAACTTTCGGTTGAGGGGAACATCGTTCCTGCATGTAATCTTATTCAAGGCTTCAATTTTGAATTCGGAGCTGGTTTGACAATCGGACATCTAGTGAGGAAATATTTTAATCTAATCTATTAACCACCAGCTTACCATAATCTTTCCGCAAGCCTTTTCATAAAAGTGCTTTAAATGGCTCTTTACCACATTTAGAAGTGTTTTTTAGTTTTCATACACGCCAAAAACTTTTTAGTCAAGCCCTTGGTGTCCTCAGGAACATTTTCCTATTATATACTATTTGCATCCTTAAACGCCTGTAATGCGCAAATAGAGAGAGAGATATTTGATCTTTAATATTGTTCTTTCTATAGTACTTAACAAATAATACAATAAAGGATGGACGCACTAGCGTCGCGTTCCATCCTCGAAAAACACTCCTCCATCGGCGGCACAGTACTTCGGGCATATTCCCTTCTCACCAGGCTGCCCGTCCAGACCAGGATGACCGGGTTGGCCAGGTTCGCCATCCTTTCCTGGCGTCCCCGGCTTTCCGTCAGGCCCTTTCAGTCCAGGTTCTCCTGGTGCGCCATCGATTCCACTAGTTCCGGGTGGTCCGGGGGGTCCCTGTGGTCCAGGACTTCCTGGAGGACCAGGTGGACCTGGCAGCACAGGCTCAGATATAGCCGGTTCTCCTGAAGTCGAAAGAAAAAAAAATAAAAAGTCGACGAAAATAGAAACAACAATGGAAGATGGATATGTAACAATAAGATTACCAAAAATGAACACGAAACAATGGTGAGACACCAACCAGGTTCGCCAGGAGCTCCAGGTTTTCCAGGTGGTCCAGGAGGTCCAGGAGGTCCTTTAGGTCCAGGTTCACCTGGTGGCGCATCATTTCCTTTCGGTCCGGGCTCACCAGGTGCTCCATTATCTCCAGGCGGTCCAGGAGGTCCGGGTGGTCCAGGTGGCCCTGGTGGGCATGGCTTGCATGGTGGCGGAGTAACCGGTTCACATGGTGCTTGAGGTGGCCGGCCAGGAATTCCTGGCATGCCTGGTGCTCCAGGCTTTCCAGGCCTGCCAGGTTTTCCTGGTGTTCCGACTGGTCCCATCGGTCCCGGTAAACAGCAGCCGCTGCATTGGTCGCCATATACATTCCTAGTTGTTCGGTTTGTGGGTCCAGGTAGCTCTTTTATGGAGTATACATTGGACCACACATTCTTGGCGGAGACCTTGAAATCATAACTGTAGCAAAAAGGGAGCGAAATATTGTCAAATAATTATTCGCTCCTTGGTCTACTCTACAACTGCAACCAAGCGGCATAGCATCATCTGGTCGGGGTGTGGAATTTTACATTTTTTCTCAAAATCGTTAAAGTAAGCTTCGAAGGTGCACTTATATAGGTGTACAATGTACTACAATGTACTACAATGTACTACACTACAGTATGTTTACTAATGATGCCACCTCTTCTTAAACATGTCACAACATCAGCCGGTTTTTTTCTCACGATATTGTCTACAAATTATATTTCGATTCTAGCTAGCTGAGAGACAGGCGAAACGAAGGACCCGAATGGTGTGGTGGTGAACGCGTTACTTACCGGAAAAGGCAATAACGCGTTCGTTCGCCACCGCAGACATCTGCGGTCCAGAGTTTTGAAAATATCTGTGGTTGCATATTTCGATTATAATCCATGAAAAATAACCTATGCAATTTATATTTGCAAAATCCAATGAGCTTATGGTAAAATGACTGTAATGTAGCTCATGATCAGATTTTATTTCACACGAAACTGTGCAATTCACAACAAAATAAAAACTGTTGTTACCAGCTTGTCCACGGTGCCGTAGGAGTAAATGGGATCTGTGTATATTCTCGATAGAATAAGTGACCGAACGAAGTATTGGAAAATGTGACCTGTTCCAGCATCTTTTCAGTAGTGAATTTTTATGAATTTCCTTATTTCTCCACATTCTTTCATGCTTGGCTTTTGGTGTCAGTAGTAGAGCAGACAGGTGTCGTCTTTGAAGAACCTACCTTACACATGCTGAGTTCTGAGTGCATTTGGGAGCGTACGTGGTGGACGTAGTTGTAGACCATCGGCAGGGTGATGCACACTGACAGCACGGCCAGTGCCGAGAACGTGACGGCCGCGTAGCCAACAAAGCGATAGGCCTTGATCCTGGAGTCGATGTCCATGCTGGACCGGACTCAACAAATCACCGCCGCCTGCTTTATAGTGACCGGTGAACGGCTCCGCCTTCCGAGTACTTTTTTTTCTCACCGCACTGAATCGAGATCCGAAAATCGTCAGAGCCATATCTACTCGACATTACGCATCAGTTTATTTGCGGAAATCTCTGGTGCACGACCTGCTTAGTCCAATAATCAAATAGAAGACGATAGTATAATGTTCAGTTAACTAGATGACGAAGCCTCACCGGCTCTTAAAACACTAATTGCTTACAAATTCCGAAAATCTGGAGACGATAGAATATGACCAAGAAGAGTTTTGAATAGATGAAAGCACTTCACAGTTGAAAAGGCAGATACTGTGGAAACAATGAGGACAGGACGGATATTTACAAATTTCAATTTTTGTTCGACCATCCTCCGTACTGATCGATATCGATCACTCAGCTTGCCACCACCGTAAGCAGAAATGATGTTCAATAGAATGATGGCGAAGACAATGCAAGCATCCCAGGGACATTACGATTCCGTGCCGGCGCTCCGCTCTAACGCTTTTCTGCGTTGATGAACATGTCGGCGCTGTTCTGTTTTAATGGGAATTTCCTCTTAGGGAAAAAGGGGATGAAAATGGAATTATTCATGACCAAATTACAGGATATGCAATATGCAAATAAAATCTAGTTGTATCAAGAATTCGTCTAATCATATGGGTAAAATGTATTCGAAGAAGAAGGCATACGTACGATAAAATAAGACGGAATCTGAGTAATCGAATCACATAAACATGAAAAAAACCGATCGTTATCACCTGAAATATCATTCATTTGTTTTTTTGCCTAGAACTGCTGTTCCTTTCAAGTGGGTGAGAGAATGTTGCGCGGCCGGCCGGTGATGGTAGAACGGGTGAAGTTTTCGGTTAGGAGATGGCGCGACTGATTGAATTGATCCGTGTGGAAGAATAAGTGTTCTAAGTGGAATGGAGCTTTTCGTAGTTTGTACCAACTTCTCTGGAAATCTTTGAAATGTCTTCAATTTCATATGAACCATTAAATGAACCAAGCAGTGTAACGTCGTTGGCCTAACCACCGCTTTTCCAGTTCACCTCGAGATCTTGTCGCGGTCGGTGAATTGCTAGTACAGTCTTGTCTACTAGATGTGTTAAACTGGAACTGGTCATTCTCCCAGGTAAACATAAAGTAATTAAAATGCGCAATTTATAATTGGAGCACGCATCTGATGTTGCGGTGGATAGAGGCGACGTGTACATTATCACTCCGTTTTTAACAGTTTTAATCAATCCTGGATTTCTTTCATCATTCCTTATTGTGGTTGAAGACAAATCTGAGTGATAATGGTAGAAAAGAGAGACGATTAGTTCGGGTGAGAACTCGTCACTGCCTAGGCTAAGACGATTTCGGTTTTCCCGCTGAAAAATCTAGATCCGAACAGTGGGAAGCAGAGAATTCGTGTGTGAACATTAGCTTCAATGACTATAGAATTCCGCCGTTTTGGTGCTTTTCCGGAAGAAATTCAATGTGGTAAGAAGTGAAGTAATTTTCTATGGTCCTTGGATGTCTCATCTGTGAACTCAAAGGCCCACAACAGCAGATGTTCGACTTAGTTTGGTGAAAGGACTCTTAGTAGAAGTTCCAACTCTTCTCCATTCCCTTTTTAAAAATATTCTCATAATTTCCATATTTCTAATGAACTTCCACTTTCTTGTTTTTTTTTCAAGGAAGGGCAAAACCTTAGATCTTTGATGTGCCAGCTGAAATTTGCTGATATAGTCAATTGCTGTGCCTTGGAGTTGGAGAGTAACATTAAATCTTGTTTTCCTCTATTTTATTTCATCCGTCTTCACCTCTACTGTGCCGATCCCAGCACTTCTCACATTTGATTCGTTTCTTCGTATCCCTCGGTTGCTCCTTGAGGATTTTCATTTCATCTTGAATGTCGTAGAATGCTGGCCGTAAAATTCATCCTGAAGTCCTGAGATAGCCGCGCTAGAGCGTTCCCAATTGAATTTTTCGACGCCGGAGAGATGAGAGGCTTGGTTGGACCGGGACTGGAGCGGCATTGAACTAGCAACATGCTCATGAAGATGGGCATCACTACCACTGTGCTATCCGCTCCTTTAAACCTTATTAACACTTTGAAATAGAAAAGTTATGGTTGTAGTTCATGCAAGCAAAGACGTAGTGGAGTCACCTTCGAGCAAAAGACACGATAACGAAGGGAAATGCCGCAGAAAGTAGCACAATGAAATTTTAAATGAAAATTTTAGGTTGTCATAGTCAGCGTTGCCGGAGCGTTTCGAAAAGGAAAGAGCTTCCTGCTGAATTTCTTCCTTGAATATCTGTATAGCTTGCAAAAGTCTCAGCAGGTATGTTGATTCATAAGTTGAGTCATGAACGACGTCTCGTACTGCATCGCATGTTCAATTATTGACAAATAAATGTTGGCGAGGATTGAGAGGTTCAGTCAGGCGTCGTAGTGGGTTTGTTACGAGAGCAATTCTGCTCTTTCCGTGGTAACGGATAAGCGGTTGCTAAACGGGTTCATAGACTATAGTTAACCCACTCCGAGTCGTGTGCGCACTACAGTGTCCATAACGATTTGGACTAAGCGACCGTACGGACACTATTGTGCCCATTTTTATTTCAGTGCGTTCTAGAATTTTTTGTCGCACAATGTATATTGACTCAGTAGCGAAACAATAGCAGATCGAAACGAGAGCGGTGAGACCAGAGAAGCATTCTCTCTACACTTTGTGATTTAAAAAAAACTCGAAGAGGTTCATTGGCAGCCGGTAATTTGACTAACAATTTTTTCGTATGAAGTGCTGAGATATTTGCAAAACTCCGGACCACAGGTGTATGCAGTGGGGAACGAATTGTCCTTACCGGGGAGCAGCGCACTTCACCACTACACCATCCGGGTCCTTCGCTTTGCATGTCCCACTGCATACACCTGTGGTCCGGAGTTTTGCAAATATCCCAGCACTTCATACGAGTTATATTTCACAACATACCCTGCCATTAAGAAGAAAAAGGCAGTAAATAAAAGAGTTCAGATAACAATTTTTTGTTAACTTTTTATGTACTGCCTACCACAATTTTCATGGCAGGGTATTATGCAAAATCAACCACAACGATGCTGAGTTATTTGCAAAACTTGGGTTTCGGGCCAAATGGAACCACTATTTCCCTTCCCAGGGGCTCGCGCATTACACACTGCGCCACGGAAGCTCTTGCTGGGCGCTTCTGCCAGCTAGTTTTCTTCCTGGGAGTGCCGGCACCAATCACCTACAATTCTTTGTTACTTTACTTTAATCGCTATCGTTATTCTTTAGAATGTCAACTACCATTAACTATAAAATATTTCCATATGCCGACAGAAAAGTATTCGCAGTTAAGGCATAAACGCAGTAACGCATAGTAAATAGCACCGTGCAACCATTCTTACTCATCACTTCGTCAGTCCGTGATCTAAATTTGGAGCAACTAGAAATTTCATTGCTACCTAGTTATACGCTGACCTCGAAGTGGGAGACTCACACACTGTATCGACGTAGTCACTATATGTATTCTTTCTTGATAAGCTTGCACGAGGTTGATAAATATATTTATTTTCGGCTAACGTTTCGACGTCTTCGTCTTCCTCAGAGCCGATGATCCGAGTCGATTGGTCCATGCTTGTTGTTCGTCTCGACGTTGCGTCTTCGCCTTCGTGTCGAGCCAGATCTTCCTCAGTGAGCCATCTTCTCGAATGAGGCATCCTCACTCAGTGATGCCCTTTTATACACGATGCTGATGGTGGATATATAATGACAATGTCCGGTGGTAACAACTTGTATTTCTTCCAGACATACATCATTGCGCACATCGTGCAGAGGTCGGTGTATTATCAGCTAGCACAAAGCGTAGTAATATTTCGAAACCGACCTTCCCTAAACCNTCCATGCTTGTTGTTCGTCTCGACGTTGCGTCTTCGCCTTCGTGTCGAGCCAGATCTTCCTCAGTGAGCCATCTTCTCGAATGAGGCATCCTCACTCAGTGATGCCCTTTTATACACGATGCTGATGGTGGATATATAATGACAATGTCCGGTGGTAACAACTTGTATTTCTTCCGGACATACATCATTGCGCACATCGTGCAGAGGTCGGTGTATTATCAGCTAGCACAAAGCGTAGTAATATAATAAGAAAGAATACATATTGATTAGTCACACCGAGGTTTAGGGAAGGTCGGTTTCGAAATATTACTACGCTTTGTGCTAGCTGATAATACACCGACCTCTGCACGATGTGCGCAATGATGTATGTCTGGAAGAAATACAAGTTGTTACCACCGGACATTGTCATTATATATCCACCATCAGCATCGTGTATAAAAGGGCATCACTGAGTGAGGATGCCTCATTCGAGAAGATGGCTCACTGAAGAAGATCTGGCTCGACACGAAGGCGAAGACGCAACGTCGAGGCGAACAACAAGCATGGACCATCGACTCGGATCACCGGCTCTGAGGAAGACGAAGACGTCGAAACGTTAGCCGAAAATAAATATATTTATCAACCTCGTGCAAGCTTATCAAGAAAGAATATATATTGATTAGTCACACCGAGGTTTAGGGAAGGTCGGTTTCGAAATAGTAGTCACTGTAATTGCAAAATGAATAGAAAGACTTCCACGATCATATCATTATATATCGATGTTTCTAATGTTTTTGCTCATATTCTTGAAATAGTTCCTCCTCTACATGGTCAATGACGGTTCCTACTAAATTCTCATATTTAATAACACCCAGATAATTGAAACATTTACCAAGGTACTATGTAGGAACTACGGATTGAGTCATGCATCAGTAGCGAAGCCGTTCACTAAGAGCAGCCGACTTTTTCGATTCCACACAGAGCCCAATGAGCTTTCCATCCTTCTGGGGCTGGAACATTTGCACTTGACTTCCTTGGGATCAGGTCAACTCCTCCAGTCCACTTAGAAACGCCGTAATATGGCTATTTCAAGATTTCAGGGACAGTAGACTCAATCAGTATCTACAGAGAGGACCAAGAATTTTTAAGCATCAGTTGAAATCACGGGCAAAATATGAAAACCGTGGATGTGAGGAAACGAATTCACTGAAAAATATTCTGCTACCCACACAATGTACTCAGGTTATTTAAAATGAAACAAAACATGTAGGCACCGTAACTTGGAACATCGGCGCAATACTAGCCGCTCTTCGTGCACCCGTCGTTTGAGCTTCTACATAATCTTCCGGCTTTGGCGTGTTCAATTCTATCTTCAAATCATTGCTCAACATAATGAGGATTATGTCGGAGGTGACAGAGATGACCGTTTCTTCATTGCCAAGTAGCAAACTCAAGAATTAAGGTTTTATCACCTTACCAAGCATACCACTACGTTCCCAATCGCATCCAGCACACGCTAACTATTCAACACCAGAATAGCAGCTACGGCGGCAACCGTTCGACACTGAATGAGGATGTATCGGTTATACTGCCTGTCGTTTGTAATAGAAGGGCTCCATACGCATTCATCAAGATCACTAACATTCAGTGACTCGTGAAGTATGGGCGCTCCAAATGCATCTATGACGTCAGGTAGTGTTGTGTTCAGCTTTATGATGTGGTAGCCTCCGACTGCATTGTGGAAGTAAGCAGCAATGACCGATCTAAACACCATCCTTTGCTGATGACACAGTGTGATTTACTCCAAGCATAAGTCAAGGGCCATCAATTCTTGCAAAGATGGATATTTCATGTGTATAGGTTGCCATGGGTACAAATCTCACGTCCACCTCTAGCAGTTCTTTTATTGCCTAAAGGCTCAGGTTATTTGAGATATAGATGTATGAGTGGTAAATGTTTATTCTTTATTAGGCTTTCATAACTATGGATTTTTCAATATATAATGGTGAGTGGTTCTGCTTCACCGCATTTATGTCCTATATGCAAATTCCACTCGTATTGTCGAAATAATGAATTTCACCATTCTACCTAAATTACGGGTTTGTTAATAGGAATAAAGGGTACATTGAGATTCGCGCTGTCGAATTGCCATTTTCGACCGTTGGTTAGCTATCTAAGTGCATAATCAGTACTGTACCAGAAGAATCCCTAAAGAAAGACGTGTGTGGTGCAGTGGCAGGAGGCGCCATGCAATACACATGGGATCGATTCCTGCGCCCCTGGCCCACCAAGCCTTTCATCCCTACGGGATCGGTGAATTGGTACCAGACTTATCTGAGGATTGCAGCACTGTCATCGGTAGGCCACCGCCAGTCATTGTAAAGGCCAGATACGACTTCAGTCACTTCCGACGATGTTTAATGAAGTCGAATGAATGACGCATCCCTCAGGGATTGATCATAAGACAGGCCCCATTGACTGCTTATCATGGGGACCTGGTGGGGGGAGCGCAACTGATTGAAGAAATTCACTTGGGTGGAAGGCAAAGCAAATATTTCGAAATGCTTCGGATGATATTAGAGCACCTTTAGCTCGCAAATTCGCCTCCCAGGTCCTCGTTACGGCTCCGTAGATGCCATGAATATAAACAGTCCACTACTCGCTGTGATCGACTAATGCGCCGTTAACACCAGTTCTCTCACCAATCTCTCTTACAATATGTATTCTTTCTTGATAAGCTTACACGAGGTTGATAAATATATTTATTTTCGGCTAACGTTTCGACGTCTTCGTCTTCCTCAGAGCCGAGTCGATGGTCCATGCTTGTTGTTCGCCTCGACGTTGCGTCTTCGCCTTCGTGTCGAGCCAGATCTTCCTCAGTGAGCCATCTTCTCGAATGAGGCATCCTCACTCAGTGATGCCCTTTTATACACGATGCTGATGGTGGATATATAATGACAATGTCCGGTGGTAACAACTTGTATTTCTTCCGGACATACATCACTGCGCACATCGTGCAGAGGTCGGTGTATTATCAGCTAGCACAAAGCGTAGTAATATTTCGAAACCGACCTTCCCTAAACCTCGGTGTGATTAATCAATATGTATTCTTTCTTGATAAGCTTACACGAGGTTGATAAATATATAATATAGATAAATATAAAAAAAATCTCTCTTACAATTCCTACGAATGAAACCCTTTGTAATAACAACTCTAATTGGCTTATCTTTTTAGCCACAACAGTTATTGAAACCACCGCTCCCGTCTTGATTCGTCGGAATATTTTAAAGTGGCGCAGTATCTATATGTGTAACCTCTTTTTGCATAGGTACGGACCGACACATGATACCATAACTCCAATCTGAAAAGGTTATTCAAAATTAAGCAAACTGGGCGAAAGCATTTTGGCGTTGATGTAAGCAATTTATGTATTATGAAGCAGTCGCTTACTATTTGGCTATGCTTCTTCATGAAAAAAAGTTTTTTTATTAGTTACGACCCGTCTTCAGGTCTACTGTGCAGATCCCAACACTTCTCACATTCGATTTGTTTCGTCGCATCCATCATCCACTAAAACCTTCCAGCGTTTAGGTGTGCCTTCTGCTGCTGCTTGAGGATTTTCATTTCATCGTGAATGTCGTTGAATGAGGGTTGAGTCGATTCTTCCTGGAGTTTTGAGATAGCCGGGCTCGACCATTACCACTTGGAATGCAGATAGTGATTTTTTCCCGGACAAGTTCGGTACCAATTTCCCGACCCCTTAGCGATGAAAGGTTTGGTGCACCATTGACGGAATCGAAACATCACCGTGCTTGTAATGATCGGCATCGCTACCCCTGTGCTATCTCCCCCAACATGATTGTGTAAAAAAATCTGTCTAAAAATAAAACAAATCTAATCTTTACGCAAGACGTTTTTTTAAAGGAGTAAAGTTAAGGGTAGATAAGTAATGTGTGAATTTATGCTCGATAGCTTAATTCGTTCTAGAACGATGCGCCACTAGAATGGCTCACAGACGACTGTCAAGTGCACGGATTCCACTGGCGAGCCGGTGTCAAACGAGACACTGTTGGAGTGTGGCTGTGGGGCGAGCCGATTATGATCGAGGCCGCCTCGGGCGAGATGTACGCCGTCCTTCTGGTGCAGTGCTTTTCAGATGTTCTTCGTTTTCTCTCCTTTTTCGTTTCTCTAACTGTTTCCTGGGTGGAGGATTCATGGAGCATTTCCAGATGGATACACAAGGCACGTTCGACAACACATCCACCTACCAACAGTGCCTGACTATTTTCGCACTTTCTACTATCCTTAGCTGTATACAGGTAAATCAGCCTAGTTAATAGTACTTTAAACATATTATAATTCGAAACCGTCGAGGGCGATTGAGGTAGAAACTAGTTGAAAATTCTTTCGGATAGAAAATTTCTTGAATGAACGACACAATGACGAGCCAAATCAGAACATTTAGCTCAAAATAAGATTTAAGAGAAAATCATGAACGAATTTTGAAAATGAAAGCAAAAAGTTCCGGTAAGCAGTGGGTTATTTGGGAGTGGTAGTATTTTGGGATTGATCTTTTGTTTACATAGAATTGGAGTCTAGCACATTCGTTTAAGCTCACTAACCCTCCGGTGACTAGAATGGCTTCGGAAGTCCAAAATATCAAATCCAAATTGTTCACAGGATTATATTAGGTACATCTTAGAAAACCGTATAACTACAACTTTTTTTAGATGTGGTTTACCTGTTTCAAGGTGGCTAGTAGAAATTCATCGAAGCTGTCGATAATTTTTCCATATTTGTTGCCTATAACACCCTTTTCAAGTAAATTTTGGCTATCAAGAATAGCCAAATTTCGTAGTGAGCTTATGTCGCACGACATGCAGACGTTTCGATAATCACGACGACAGACGTATTTGACAGGGTCTCAAAACACTCTTCCGCTCTGCTCCTCATCTGTATCACATGTCGTGCGAGGGGCGCGTTCGGCGCAGCGCTCGGAGGCGCCCTGCAATGCAGGGGATCGATCCCCGCGCCCTAAGCTCGACAAGCCCTCCATTCCTCCGGGGTCGGGAAATTGCTATCAGACTTATGTGGGAGGACAGCAGCACTAGTTGAACGCATTGATAGGCACCGCAAGTCACTGCCGAAGTCAGATATGCATTCAGTCACTTCCACCTGTATCACCTGTATCACCTATAGTCCCGTTGATCGTCGAGTGACTCGGGCGGGCGCCAGTGAATCTTCCATTTTTCCCAGTCGCGCGCAAGAGTGGCCCAGTGGGTTCTGCTCGCTCTAGGGACTCGTCGAGCATCGTATCTTCCTTCTAGGCTCTTCGTGAAGAACTCTGCTCTGACCATCGGCTCGGTAGTCATCCTGCAGTACGTCTGACATCCCGACAAATCCAGTCACTAACGGCTCTTGTCCATCGGTTGTCGTTCATACGTATTACGTGTCCGGCCCACCTTACCCTCGACTGTTTGGCGTACATAACGGCATCTTTGATTTTTATCGCTGACGCAGGTCGGAGCTTGGGGTCCCATCCCTTACTTGTGTGGGACGGGATACTCCTAGCATCGTCCTTTCGACTGCACGTTCGATAACGTTGAGTGATCTTTCATCCTGCTTACGCAGTGACCAGGTTTCTGACGCATATGTTAGGGCAGAAAGTACCGTTGAGTCGAGAAGTTGGGCACGGAGTCGGGTGTTCTTTGTCCTCTTCACTACATCCTCGATGCTCTTGAAAGCCCCCAAGCCGCTTGTTTCCTTCTGCACAGCTCTGGGGCTAAGTCATTCAACATGTTGATTTCCCGACCTAGATAGATATAACTGTAGCATTTGAAAAGAATCGTTCCGTTAAGCGTGAATGAAGCATACGAAACCAATTCCTTCTTCATGAATATCGTTCTTGTGAGGTTTAGTCAAAGACCAACCTTTACACAGGCTTTATCAAAGTCGGTAAGCATACGTTCCGCTTGGCTAATGTTTGCTGTTATTAGGACGATGTCATCAGCAAGGCGAAGAATGTGTAACTGCCGACCATCGATTTCCACTCCCATATTAACCAATTCCAACGTTCGCATGACGTTCTAGAAGGTGGTGGTAAATAATTTTAGCGAGATGGTTTTGCCTTGCCTGATCCCTCTTTTGACGTCAATGTTAATATCGTTGTAGAATGGTGATACTTTGGCCGTGAAATTTTTGTGCAGCTCACGAAGAATCCTTATGTACTGAGTGGGGACTCCTTGACTATCAAGGGCTTCTATGACTGCTGCTATCTCTATTAAATCAAAGGCCTTCTGTAAATCGATAAAAGTGAGACAGAGCGGTCTTTTACACTCTCGCGATACTTCAATAAGCCTTGTCATCGCGTGGATGTGATCCATCGTACTACATCTTCTTCGAAACCCTGCTTGCTCACATGGCTGCCCTTCGTCCTGTGTTCTGTCAGTTCTATTTAGGATGACTCGAGTGAAAAGTTTGTAGACGATAGACAGCAATAAGATTGGGCGATAGTTGCCGATATCGTGTAGGTCATCCTTCTTGAACAATAGCACGTTCTTGCTGGTCTTCCACTGAGTTGGGACCTTGCATTCAGACAGGTAACATGTGAACAGCCGAGCCAGTGTGTCCACGAGGATTCGCAGAAGGTTCTTCAGGTGTTCTGGTCTCATCCTGTCCGGACCTGGTGCTGTTCGATTTTTCACCGGCGAAGTGGCATGTCGGATTTCGGAAGGGAGAACCAGTGGTACAACATATCAACCCTCCTTTATTTCATATGACGGAAGGTGGAGGTGGCCATCGAAGAGATCTGAATAGTATTTGTGAGTGATTTTCTCTAATGCCTTTCTGGAAGCTGTAACTGTTCCGTCTGGGCGTCGGAGTGCAGTCATCTTGGTCTTGTAATTGGCGAAGCTTCGGTGAGCTCTGCGAATGCTTTTCCCAGCATCGACTTTCTCTTAACCTCGGCATTGGAATATGAATGTGTCATTTTCTTGTTCAGCAATCGCGAGGTTTTTAAACAGCATACATTTACTTCCATAAAAAACATAATAGAATACAACGCTAGCTGACGTTTCGGCAGTATCGCCTTCTTCGGAGCCTGGAAGGGTATACTGATATACAATCTACTAGGCCAAACGCTTCAATAACACTTACAAAAAGACGAAAGACTCTTTGGTAATTACACGATCAACAACTTCTCGAAGAAACCCACCGCTTTTTCGTGACTTCCAATGAGGAAGTTTAGAATAGCTGATTATAGTCGCATGTGGTTGACGACTGCACCATCCCACATCAAAAATCGATGCGAACGTACGGGGTCAGGTCGCGTATGACCTCCGGGCTTTTCCCAGTTTCTGCAGCTTCGATCATTCCTGCTGCTGTTCTCTCCTTACGATCTTCTTTTATCATCTCTCTGCACTGTTTTGCAGGGTCAGAGGTTAGTTCGCGGTTGCTTGCAGCTCGTGCGAATCCACGCTTGCGTATCAGCTCGACAGTTTCTGGAGACAGACGTCTCTTGGTGACTTTCGAACTCTCAGCCTTCACAGCGCTAACGTGAAGATGTTGAATGAGCTTATCGTATTCTTCGTCGATGTTATCGACAACGGCATCTTCCCGACAGCCGACTAATGAATTGAATAAGTCTCAGTTTACGGTGGTTTTGTGACTTCGGTTTTTGAATTTAGCGGCTTTTTCTCCATTCGGCGAGGAATAGAATCTTGCACGAATGGGACGGTGGTCTGACCCGTGTAGAATTATGGGACAACAGCGACATCGGTTAGGCAGAACCTTCGATTTGCTATGATGTGTTCTATTTCGTTATGGTACTCTCCATTAGCAGATTGCCACGTGCATCGTTGAGGGTGGGGTTCCTGGAATTGCGAGTTACCATGGATGGTCTTTGTCGTCATGATAAACTTAGACACACGTTCACCCTGCTCGTTCTAGTCTAATTTGTGGGTTCCAATATGACATTTTGCAGACGTTCTTCTTTTTCCAATCTCAGCGTTCAAATCTCTTGTGATGACAATGAAGAATGTCTTCTGTGTAAAACTTTTCCAAGTCCAAATAGTACGCTTCGACTTCTTCTTCGCCATAGTTAAACGTGTCCGTGCGACTCCACTGTCGCATGTTCCGAGGAACGGTTCTTCTACGGCGTCACGGCGTTGAATGGGTGGCGTCTTCTCGTATAGATCACTCCGATGACGTCGTGCCTTACCCTTCTTGCCTGCATGATCAAGTCGTCTATCGAAGACTCGGATGCAAGTTTGCGGGCATCGTAAGTAGTCCTTTGCAATATAGGCAGCCTAGAGTAGCCCCTAGATGTTAGCAGCCTTTCCGTACTCTGCCTACCCAACATTGCGGAATCGGGGGCTCTTTTGGGGTCAAAGGAATAAGGCCTGTTTTTTTTTACTGTGTTTAGCTTTTTGATAACCATGTATAGCTTAATGAGCTCTGAACGTGAGGCTTGGGCATACTCATGGGTAGCTTGCCAGTCTTTCCCAGAATAGACATGGAGCTTACTAGCTGGAGGCGACTATTAACCGCCTCCCATTTACTTTCCTGTCACTTGGTTGCAAAGTTTTGGCCGAATTAACTCGTAGAATATAAACTGCATAACGAGAACACAGTCACGCACGCATGTAGGAATACGCCTTCGCAAATACAAAAGGTATTCACCAAATCGGCGTAAGGCAAGCAGATAGTCCATCCTCTGGATCTATCTGCGTCTCAGAGAAGCAACGGGGCCGCTTTTGGTCAGTGATTAGCTCCCTATCCGTCACTTGGGGACGCTCCACGTTGCTTCGCCGCTAACCGGCAAGAGATCCATCTATGAGGGAGATCCGTGGCTACCTCATTCTAGAATCATTGAATTCGTGGAGTTCCTTCCTCAAGGATCCCCACCGTTGAAAAATGAATATGATCTCTCAGTTTTATTAATAGTGTAAAAAATTTACCAACATGAGAAGCGATTCTTGTGTTCATTTGATTTTCACAACTGCAGGAGCTCTGTGCTTATAGCTACCAGATGAATGATATATGTGCATACATATATAATATACATCCATACATATATATCTACACACATCTACGTATATATGTACATATGTATTTATGTATATATGTATATATATACGTACATACGAGTATATTTGTTGAAGCAGTTGCAGATTTATAATGTGGTCGACAACATCCAGGAAGATTCACTGCAGCATCTTTCACTTTTTGTTGAATACGGGAAACTGGCGATGTCAGAAGCGCGACACTACGGCAAGCCTTTTCAGGTCTTGTTGCTAAACGAAGATAAAGGAAGTCATGCGTTCACGAAATCATTCTGACAATTTCAGACTCTGGTGTTTTGTGTACGAGATTTCAAAAATCCAGAAGAATACGGATACGGGTACGAAGGAGGCAAGAAGTTTCTCGAACAAGTTCTTACTGTTCGTCTCTCATACTTACTTATCTATTTGTTGACATCTACCATGCCAATACCGTACATCCATAGCTTCGTCGTACTGAAGTTGGAAGTTGAACTACGATGATAAGCACTATTTTGTTTGATACTGCACCGTAATACAACAGATTACACAATAAAAAATAGTTCAGACGCCTATTGTTAAAAAGGAAGTAATGGTTCCTTACCTAAGCAAGCTTGTTAAATAGGTGATTTCAGCCATCTCCCAGCCAACCGGAAGAGGTTCGATGTATCCGGGAACAGTTATCAAATTATTTCGATCAGATATCCTGCTATCTTCTTCCTCATCCTGGCTATCGGGTCGCCGAGAGACAGTCGTTCAGAGGCCATATCAAAGGTACTGTTGATCCCAGCACCCATCTGACAACAAAATGTCCGTATTCAGATCTGCGACCCGTATTTCGTGAAGAATTGAAGAAAATGGTCTCGTCGCTGTTGAATCCGCATGCCCTCCAACCTAAATTAATCAACGGGAAACCAGTTACTTGTCGAAAACTCATTCAGTATTTCAAGGTTTGTTTCTAGGTTAGAAGGCTTCCCGAATTGGTCGAACATTTGCTTATCACTGCTTTGATCAATGAATAAACACTTGGTAATGCCATGGTAGGTGGACTAACAAAAATGGACACTAGGCTTTGTCTTGTCAAGAGCGATCACCATCTAAAACCAAGCAGGTTCCATCAACGGCAGTTTCGTAGCTTTCGAAAGGCCTATGTTCTCAACTTTTAGGAATATGTGAATTCCTTCGATGGCAGCTCTCTCCCACAAGCAAACAGCATTCTGAACGCCAATGCTAAGCTGATCTGCATCGAGGCCGCTCACGAGGCCAAAGTTGCCTACTGTCGGGGAATGGATCGGGTAAGCGCTTCCTACTAGACAGCACCATTCGCGGTATTCGTAAGCTTTTTCCAAAAACTGTAGAATTACTCGCTGTTTTCACTCAAAACCGAAGTATTACTACATTCAAAAGTTATGAAAATCCGTAGAAAGAAAAGCAAAAAACGAAAAGATCCTTTTACTTCTTGTCTTTCTAAGGAGAAAATATAAGATTACCATGTAAGTAGCGAGCTTAAGGAAAAAATGTAATCTTCAGTCTACGAACACACTTCTACCACATTCAAATTTGCTACTTCAAAAGTAAGTAGGAAAAGTTTTTCTGGGATACAACGGCAATAGTGATGAGATACGGGCAAAACCTGGAGCCTCGCGAGCGCTTTGGATCCAGGATTACCCCTTCCCGGGACTCATTTGTTATCCATCGCACCAACCAAAGCCCTTCTTTTGTCTTCCTCTCGGCCGGTTTTTTGTTCTAATAAGAGAGGATCTTGTTTTAAGAGATCTCCAAACTATTCAAAAAAATTCTATTGAAATACTCAACAGGTTTTAATATTTCCTGATGGAATCAAAGAGGGTAGTATTGGCGTATCCGATAAAGAGGTCTGTTACTACATTTCTGACCTGGGAAGAATGAACAGATTAATTATTCTGCGTAGAGGTGTACGTAGAGGTATTATATAGGGACCAGCCGCATAATGGGACTGTACGCTATGAAGCAACATCTTATTACCATATAAATTGTAAAGCTTAGATTCACATTCATACCGATCTAGTAAGTAGGTGAATATAGCTGCATTTCAATAGACTTATCTGCTACCCAGGGACGCATGGCGCAGTAGTCGGAGGCGCCCTGCAACACAAACGTGGAATCGGTCCCCTGGAATAGTCCATGGCTCACCAAGCTTTCTATCCCTCCGGGTCGACCAATTGGTTCCAGACTTGTCTGGGAGGATAGCAGCAGATCGGTAGGCCACCGCGAGTCATTGTAAAGGCCAGATATGCATTCAATCACCTCCAAACGATGCTTAATGAAGTCGAATGCATAGCGCGTCCCTCAGTGATTGATCGACGCTGAAAGCTTTATTCTTTATCCTTTATCCTTTATTTGCCAACCATAAGTTTTGCATTTCTACTCCTTAATGCAGCAGAACACTTGCCCGCTTGTTTTTGGATGCACCGTTCCATAAATGTGATTGTTTTAGTCTACTGTGGGCTCGCGGATGATTCCGGAAAAAAGGCTGCTCGAAGCCCATATAAAGCATGGCATCACCGCACTGAACATATACGACAGATGTCCGAAAATTGGAACCACCGAAATTCGAAGTTGTCTATTAGCTAAGCTTCAGGAGGACATCAACGTACGTGCAGATTGTATCCTCTTGTTTTACTTTACACACATGAAAGCGAGCAGTCCTAGTCTACCATGGGAGATCGGGGCAAGTTAGACTCGTGTTCACATTTTAATTGTTCCCAGGGTCGACTTTCTCTTAACCTCGGCATTGGAATATGAATGTGTCGTTTTCTTGTTCAGCAATCGCGAGGTTTTTAAACAGCATACATTTACTTCCATAGAGAAACACAATACAACACATTGTTAATGGCAGCGTTAGATAGAAAACTAGCTGACACAAACGCAAATCCATGGCTCCATGGTGCAGTGTGCAATATGCGACCCTCCGGAAAGGGTAGTCGTGGTTCGATCTGGCCCGGAGTCCAAATTTTGGAAATATCTCAACAGCATACATTTACTTCCATAGAAAAACACAATACAGTACAACGTTAGCTGACGTTTCGGCAGTATCGCCTTCTTCGGAGCCTGGAAGGGTATACTGATATACAATCTACTAGGCCAAACGCTTCAATAACACTTACACAAAGACGAAGGACTCTTTGGTAATTACACGATCAACAACTTCTCGAAAAACCCACCGCTTTTTCGTGACTTCCAATGAGGAAGTTTAGAACAGCTGATTATAGTCGCATGTGGTTGACGACTGCACCATCCCACATCAAAAATCGATGCGAACGTACGGGATCAGGTCGCGTATGATCTCCGGGCATTCGTCCCTGCTATTCATTGTAGGGTTTTTGGCATTGATCCAAAAAGCCTCTAGGAGTTTTCGCGCTGGTGTTTCGGACTCCTGTGCAAGGATATTGACTTTCACTTCAAAATCGTCCCCGCTATGCTTTTGTATCCTATGCGTGCCTAGTGGGGTGCTTCGTCTTAGTTTTCGTTTGCCATCTAGGTGTCCTTTTATACGGATACA